CTATGAATTGTTTTTTTTATAAACTCACAAGCAGTTTTTAAATTTGTTAAAAAATACAGCAAATTTTTTTAAGCATTAATCAACTTTTTGAGATCGAAGGAATTAAAGCAAGAAAAGCTAAATCATTGATTTTCTGGATAGGATTATATTATTTGAGTTTTAATTCTAAGTTCAATAATTTTGTGAAAATTTTAAACCTCTTATATCAAAACATCAAAGTAGATAAAAGATGCAGATTTCATAAAGAATCTATAAAAGCTAAGCTAAGAATTTTAAAAGCAAAGCTGATCAGTAAATTTAGAAAGAATTTTCTTTTTAAATTCAAATTTCAAATAAACTAAGCTATAAAAATTCAAAATTTCGATAAAAAATCAAAAGCCATAAATTAATTTTGCTCAAAAATATTTTCAGCTTGAAGAGAATAAAAGAATTGAATTTTTTTTTGCATGATTTCATTTCTAAGCAGATTGTTACCTTCTTTCTGAATTTCTCTCAACTTCCGTTTCCTTTTTTCTTTCCGTTTCAGTTTCAACTGTTACTAATTTTTTTCAAGCAACGTCACGTTTATGAAGATATTCTGTTTCAAATTTTCGTGAGTCACAGGCTGTGAGTTTATTCTTGGAGTATGAAAATTGTACGGATATCCAAACTGTTGGCACATTCATCAGTTTAGTCCAGTTTAGTAGAAATGATTTGGATTAAGGTTTTAGATAGAGATTAAAGTCGATTAGAAATTTGTAAAGTCAAGTTGATTTGAGTCGAATTTTTTTAAATTAATCCGAATCGATTTAAAGTTCTGACTTTTAAAGAACACTTATAATCAACAATGATTGCCAATGTGATCTATAGATACAAGATGTAGGTCAATATCTCTTCAATATCAGACAAAGATGCAAATTTTCTTTGGATCCACATTATTTCAACTGACAGTTTTGAACTTTTTAATTCGAATCAGCTAAAATTTATTATCTTCAAAATGAATGAATTAGTTTGTCTTTTTAAAAGCTGCGCAATTGGACACTCAAACCAAAAACTATATTTAAGTAAAAAGTACATCAATATCACAAAACATATCCTTAACCTTTTATCGATAGCAAACAAATTAACATTCATCAGCTAATGAACATTCTCACATATTCACAAAATTGCTGTATGATATCATCACATAGTGCCTATTGAGCATGTTCAGTACTTATGCGGACTTAATTCATACATAGTAAATGGAAAAAATATTCAGCAGCACACAGAGAGCTTCACGAGAAACTAGCAAAGTAATAAAGAATGGCATGTGGCTGTCATTTCATTTTTTTCGTCCACTTCTAATTGTTAAAACATTTCCCAAAGGATTCATTTCTCAGAATCACACCTATTTAGTTTGAATTCTGAACTCAATTTCATTGTACTTTTGTTTAACCTTTTTTTGTTGTTGTGAAATTTGAATGCTTGTGACTGAAAAGGTCAGAGCCTCTAGCGGTTGAAGTTTTTAGACTTGTCATGTTGACTTTAGGAAAATGCTGCTGTCTTGTGAATGGAAAATGGATATTTTATTTTGTTTTAAAAATCACTCGATTTTTATCAGAAAAATTGTGGCATCTATAAATGACTTATAGCTGAACGGCACAGGCAGAACTCTTTCACTCATTTCTGTCTAAACTCAAAGTTTAAGACTAGTTCCAGCAATTTTCTAAACACACAGCTTTTAAGAATAAGTACTTCTTTTCAAAAAGCATGAAACTCCTACAAACTCTTCAAAATTTAGACAACAAACATGACTAAAGAATAAATTGACAACCTCAAAATCATACAATTAGCTAGCCACTCCAATGATTGTACGTCAACTGAGTCCAATACTATCAACCTACTTAAAATTACTCCAATTTTTGTAACAATAAACTTCAGTCAACTTTTCAAGCTTTGAGCTTTTTTTACGCTTCCCTTCCATTTGTCACAATCGATATGATGATGGATGGAAGTATTTATGAATAATAAGAAGGATGGATTTTCCATTCACCAAAAATAACTTTTTTCCTCTCTCCAACAGTTCTCAAAAGTCCTTTGTAGCCATTTATTGTCAATTTCCAATTGTTTTTTGACACCCTTCCCTCCTTCCCGTTCTTTGTCACAAATGAAAATTTTCAAGTTATGCATCGACCTCCCCTAAATACTAGACATCATTTGTGAACAACCTACGATCGAAAAAAGGTTTGAAATTTGAAAAAATAAGTCCAACGTGATCATGTGAACAGCAAGTGCCATCAATAAATTGTCATTAAAGCGATCGAATTTGAGAAAGAGAAAAATTTTTTTTTTGGGTGGGTCAGAATTTTTTTCTTTTCGCCTCACAAAAAAAAAAGAAGAAAAAAGGTTTTAATGTGCTGCATATCCTTGTGTTCAATAAGTTCTAAACAGCAGTAAAACATTTCAATTGAATGAAATAAAAATTATTATTATTATAAATAAATTATTGAATTGTGATAATTTTGTGGGGAGACGAGAGTCGTAGTGGTGGTTGAGAAGTTGGAATGAGCCAATATACAGTGGAAATAGGAGAGAGAGATAGAAGAACTACAGTCGAATATTGTGAGCGGAGAAAAGCGCATAAAAACTGGCATATTCTAATTATCCTTTCAGTTTTCTTCTTATTCTAGGTTAAAGCAAACATGGTTGTTCCCACACATACACATACACAATGAAGAATTTTCATCGATTTGCTTTTCTTCGTAGAATTTTCCTTCTTTTCCTTTTTTCGAGAAACTTTTTTTTTTCACTTAGACAATTTTTTTCCTTCCTCAATAAAATTTCATTTTTTTAAACTTTTTTCTTTTATCTGCATTATGTATATTTTTTAAGGTGGAAATTTTCCTCAAATTTGATGAAGAAAATTTGTCATGAAAATTCTTTTTCCTTCACAAAAAAAAAAAAAATTAAAAGCTTTTTGAAGCTCAATTTTAATTACTTTTTATTATCTTTGGATGTTTTAAACACTTTCATAGGCAAATTTCAAGCGAAATTCCAAAAATTTTCATCAATTTTTTACACCACTTTTGAAATTATGAAATTTTTTCCATTCACATAATTTTTTTTTCTTTTCTTCTTCACCTCGAATTTCGATCGAAAATTGTCAAGAAATTAATAAATCTTAACTTTAAAGAGTCTAAATTGGCTGTCTAAAGATAGTTTTATAAGAAAATTTATAGTTTTTAAGGTTTTTTACAGTTTTTTCATGAATTAATTATTTTTTTCACTAAAGTTCATCACTTTTTCCTTCTAAACTCTCTCACTGCCAATTTTTTTCTGAAGTGAAAATTTTCTTTCGACAGAGCTTTTCGGCTTTTCATCCTCATCGGCTCACTAATACAGATGTAAAAGAATTTTCCGAGCAATCTACATTCATATTCTACGAATATGTGCTTTTGCTATTCATACACATTTATAAGGATATAATATCAATGAAATAAAAAAGCGGTAAAATATTCAGCATAGATGTGATATGGAAATTTATTGAAAACTTTTGTTACATTTTAGAATTGGAAAATTTAACAATTTTCACATTTTTGAATTTTTTGAGGATAAGAATGTTTTTAAAATGTATTTAAAATTGGTTTCATATAGTTAAATACATATTAATTCAATTATATAAAAAAAACAATAAAAGCTGTTGCAGATATTTTCAAATATTTCCATCATTTACTATGGATCAAATTAAGGATAATAAGGAAAATCTTTTAAGATTTCCTCACATTCTTACTGTTTTTGAAACTTTAAGTAAAACTTTAGATATTTTTCAAAAAACTTTTAGATTGATTTAAATCATTTTATATTTTTAAATTTAATAAAATGAGAACTTTAACGGCCGATTCACAAAGGTGGATAATCCTCATTTTCAGATTATCTATTTCTTTGAAATAAGAAAAATCCAAATAATTTTTTTCTGATGTAGAATTACTTGTTCAGTAATGATCAAACGAGTTTAAGAAAAAAATCTTTTTATTGTATAGGGGGTTCACAGACGACAGTTGGAACGTTACATACTTCTTGACCCCCCCCCCCCCCCCCCCATGTTACAAATTTTCAAACCCCTCCCCCCTAAAATGCGAACGTAATAAGTGAACGGCCCAATAGTGAATATAGCGAAACAATAATTTTAGTATTTGGATTATCCTAAAAATATCCTAGGATTATCCTGAAGATTATTTAACATTTTTGATTAATTATGTGGATAATCCTAGGATAATTTCAGGATAATCCGATCCGAAGATTATTCACCTTTGTGAAATCGGGCGTAAGTTTTTTTCATAACCGTCATATAAAGTTCAAATTTTTCTTTTTCCCCTCAATCAAAGAAATTCTAGTCAAAAACTACAAAATACAAATTGTTCAAAATTTTAAAAACCGCTATATTTTTAAAATGTAATTCAACTTTCGATTTATAAATCGTAAAATAAATATTTCTAAATACATTTTGTTATAAAGTTTAAAAAAAAAGATTCATAATCACCACAAAATGCTTAATTGCACAATACTTTAATTAAAAAGTGAACACGAGGGTAATATTTGAGGGATATTTTATTTCGTCTAAAACCCCTTAACTCGTATAATTTTATTATTGTTTTTATTATCATGAAATTCACATTTAAACATTATTTAAGAAACTTAAAGTATGATTATTAAATCATACTTTAATGATATTCTTTCACTAAGTCATTGACATTCTCGAATTAAAGTCAAATTAATAATTTATTAAGTTAAAGTTTTTAACAGTCATAAATTCAAATTACATTACAAATCACAGTCGACGATTTTGAATGAAAAGTCGCGTTTTGTAAACATTTAAAAAAAAAGCATAAAAATTTTAATTCTAGCGAAAAATAAATAAATTTATTGATTCTAAGGTGTTTTAAATGCTTAATTCCAGTACAATCTAATGAAGTGAGTGGATATAACGAATGTACTAAGTTAATATACAAAATTATTGTGATTAAATATTGATTTTCATTAAAATGAGTGAAACGCGTTGCTATTTCGATATCACAATCAATAATATTGATGCAGGAAGGATTGTTTTTGAGCTATTTCCCAATGAATGTCCAAAGACGAGTGAAAATTTTCGACAATTATGTACTGGTGAAGCTGGAATTGGAAAAGTCCACGATAAGCAGCTATACTATAAGGTATAAATTCATGGATTATTTATTCGTGTATAAAGTCAATCAATTAATTTACTGATTATTAATGCATGAATTCTCATTTTCATCTAGGGAATTATTTTTCATCGAGTTGTTAAAGGCTTCATGATTCAATCGGGTGATTTCATAAATTCTAATGGAACTAGTGGCGAAAGTATTTACGGAAAGACATTCGACGATGAAAATTTATCCTTAAAACATGAAAAGCCATTCCTTTTAAGTATGGCAAATCGCGGAAAGAACACAAATAGTTCTCAATTTTTTATGTGAGTGAGCTATAAAGTGAAAGGCAGTTGACTGAAGCAATCCAGGGACAACCATACAAATATTTTGACTATTGAATCATTTCTATTGTTTTGTTCCCATTCTCTATCTCCCACATATAGAACAACAGCTCCTGCCAGTCATTTAGATGGGTAAGTTAACATACTGAATTACCTCAAATTGATCTATTAAAGTCCTCTTAACTTAATTGACTATCGATTTTCATTATTATGATAACATTTCATTTTCTACTTGTAGAATTCATACTGTGTTTGGTAGAGTTGTAAGCGGACAGGATATTGTACGACAAATTGAAGATTTACCAGTTGATCGTAATTCGCGACCATTAGATGAAGCTATGGTTAAGTCTTGTGGTGAATTAGTAAAGCAGGTCAAAGGTGAGTTCTTAGTTTAAACTTTATATACAATTACGCATTATTAAATGTCTTTATTTTGAAGAAGTTTTGAAAATTTTAGAACAGCTTTTTTAATGTTGAATTCTAAAACCGTACAAATGTTTCAAAACCTTCAATTTGTGTTTGAAAACCACACAAAAGTCTTAACAAAACCATTCAAATGTTTCTAAAATTGAAAGTTCGTTAATTAAGTTTCCTTAAAATCCTCAATTTTAGCATAGCTTAAAAAAATGCATCGAAAGTTATTGAAAAATGCCAATTTTCCTCATATGCATTTCACATAAGGTAAAATACAAAAGCTATGAAGCTCGTGACATCACACAAGCTGTATAAACATAACTTAAACTATGTAAAGTAATTGAATGTGTATGAAAATGAATAGCTTCGTCATTAATAATTAATGTAATCAATAGACTACTTTATTAAAAAAGTGCTGTAAAGTAATCCAGTAAAAAAACTTTTTTCAATTAATTTCAGAGAAAAAAGAGAAGAAGAAGAAAAAGGTTGAAGTTAGTGACTCATCAGACAGCACATCCAGCGACTCGTCATCAGAAGATGAGAAAAAAAAGAAACGAAAGAAGAAAAAGGAAAAGAAAAAATCCAAAAAAGCTTCAAAGCACAAAGAGTAAGTCATAAATAAATCACGTGAAAATATTTAATAATTTTACAATAATATTACTCCTAGGAATGCTGAGTCGTCAATCGAAGAGGGTGAATTGGAATCTGACACGGAATGTCTTAATCCTTTAGTTTCAGTCACAAAAATCGACCCAAAAGAAATTCCAGAAGTTAATAATAAATTTCTAATGCGATCTGAAAGACCTCGCGATGATGATGATAAAAACAGACGCAGTGAGGATCGAAATGGAAGTGACAATCGTCGTGAAAAGAATTTTGGTTGGTCAAAGCGCTATGTACCTCAATCTAGAAGTGGACGCGTTATTAAAGGTCGTGGAAGTTTCCGATATCGAACACCATCCAGATCACGTTCACGTTCCGTTACTCCTGAACACTGGAAGGCAGCAACACGAAAGCTGATTAAATTCTCAGAATTTGAGAAATTAGAAGAAGTAAAGAGACAACGTGAGGATGAAATAAAAAGGCGTACAGAAGAACGGAAAAAGAGACATGAAGCAATTTCTCGTGGTGACGGCAAAAAATCATTCTTTGAACTTGGTCAAGAGACTACAACAGCTGCACGAGTTGAAATTGAATATCCAAAAGAACCTGAAAAATCAATTAATGATGAACTTGACTATGAAGCTGATGACATTGTAGAGGAATTACAAAAACCTGAAAAGAAAATTGTTGAAACAAACCAAAAAGCACGCATCAGAATTGAAATGTCTAAAAGTCCAGATCGCATTAAGAATATTCGTAAACGTAGCAAATCACGTTCTAAAGAATTCGATCGACGAAATCGTGACCGAAAAGATTTTCCTGATTATCGTAGAAGACAAAACGATGGAAGGAACTTTGAACGCAATAATCGTTTTGATCGATTCCGTCGAGATGATAGAGATCGAGACAGGAATCAAGATAATTTTGGAAGAAATAGAAACTACAGAGATGAAAGAGTCAGACGCAAAAGTCGCAGTAATTCTCGAAGCCGGTAAGTTACACTATATTACATGATTTGTTTAAAACTGAATATCCAATCATATATTTATTTCAATTTCAGTTACAACAGACGCAGATCATCAGAACGAAAACGATCATTGTCTCCTCAACAGCCCAAAAAACCAGAAGAAGTTGTCGAAAACTCAAAGAAAATTGATGAAAATCCAAAGATGAAATACAATGAAACTGATATTGAGGATTTGGAGCGTCGAGTATTGGAAGCTAAGAAAGTATTGGAAATTATTGTAAAGGAAAAAGAAAAAGAGGAAGAAGAAAAGCGCAGGCGATCTCTTTCAAGATCATCGAAACGCTCTGACAAGAAAAAGAGGCGAAGGCATTCAGATTCATCAGATTGAGGATGAACATTTTATTGTATTTTAAAGTTTCTTGTGCTTATACATTTTTTTAAGTCGCAGATATGGATTAAAGGAAGTTTCTAGGGATTGATTTGTGAGTTTTTTAATTTTTGTGAGGAAGTTTTTAATTTTTAATATGTCAGTTAATTGCATTTTTAATAATCCTTAGAAGCAGTCCTGCATCATTTTAATTATGAATCTAATCTGCACTTTGTATATCCTTCACATTTTCCGGTTGTTTGAAATAAATTGAAGTTCATGGACGAATTATTTGCAATAAATCATTTTCAAGTTCCTTCAAATCAATCTTTGAAGGATATAAAGTCTTCAATACACCATCATTTCCAACAATTTTAACTTGCTGCAGTTCCAATGTATTATTTCCCATCGCATGACTTATTTCATTTAATTTTGATATCAATTCTTGCATTACTTTGCTGCATATAGCTGCATTGTGATGGCTGGTGACTTCAATTAATAATTGCGTCGTGTTTACTGACATTTTTGTATTTTCAGAGTTGGTGAGCGGTGGAAGGCTAAGACACACGTGAGAATCAGTTTCCAAAAATGCAAATTCAGCTTTATCTTCCAGCAATTGAAGGAACTTGTAAACTCCAGTGACTTGTGATCGTTTCTTTTCCTTACGAAATGCTTCTGCCTCGTTCTTTAATGCCTCAAAATATTCGGAACCGCTATAAATCTTCTCGCCTCGATTTAATGGCTGAATTTTAACATTATTTTTATGCTTTGCTGCATACTTTAAATGCTTTGATTGAATCAATTTAAAGTCATGCGTTGCAATTGTTGCCAATTCACGTTTCTTACAGATTGTGTCATGTAATTTAGTTTGGAACTGAAGGAATTCTTTTAAATTGCCAGCATTAAATTGTAAATTATTCACCAAACAGCATAAAATGAAGCCACGAACATCCTTTACAGTCTGATCGTACTCAATCTTGAAATCATCATCAAACTTTTTAATGACAATTTTCTTTTGCTCTGGATCTGATTCAGACTTGTTCTGTTTGCTTTTTGAATCACTTTTGGCACTGCTCTCAAAAGAACTAATTCCTAATTTTTGAATGTGATCCATGATTGCTTTTAATGACTGATTTTGATCGATTAATTTGAACAGCTTCCGATCCTTGAGTGGATTTTGCTTGAAGTTTAATGCTGAAATGAAATAGTGATGAAATAATTAAGCTTTAATACATGATGTTGTGAAATAAGCAGTTTAATCAAGTGTCCCTTACTTTTCATTTTGATCCCAGCAAGACTCTTTGGCACAGCAGTTATCTTGTTCTCGGATGCATCAAAAATCTTTAGATTAGCTAGCTTAGTGTCCTCAGGAATATCCGTGATTTCATTTTTGGACAGATTTAATTCCGTTATTGAAATTGGAAGATTTTCAGGAAATTTGTCAAGCTTATTGACTGATAGATTAAGGATGTGAATCGATGATGACTTCATGTTAAATGAGGATATTCCATTATCACTTAAGTTAACAGTTGTCAAGTGCGTTAAGCTGGTGAAATCTACATCCACAGACGTTAAAAGATTCTTTGACAGGTCCAAATTTTTGAGGTTCACAAGTTGATCGATTTCTGCAAAAATGAAGCTTCATTAATTTACTGGATCTTGAAACAATTAAAGCACTTACCAGGGAATGTATTCAGCTTGTTACCAAACAATAGAAGTGACTGTAACTGATTCAAATCATTCAACTTTCCATTGATTTCACAAAGAAGCGGTGAATTCGACAATCTTAATAAGTTCAGTTGGTTTAGCTTAAATAAATGGACGTCGATCTTCCCATTATTCTCTTCTAATAGATCAGTCAGTTGCTGTCCATTAAGGGATATCTCTCGCTTATTTTCAGCCTTTGCTGATTTCACAACATCCCACATTTTTGCAAACTTTTGGCTGAAATATACTGTTTCTATTGATGATTTGAGTGAATTAATGCTGCTTGCTATGCATTACCTTTTGTTGATTAAATTCGTTATTCCTTCAGTTAATTAAAGTACTTAAATCACGATTAAATTGATAAAAGAATCTAAATTTGAAATTGAACTTTAATGTGTTTACTTCCAATAATAAAGCTTTTGAACTGAGCTTTTCTTTGCACAAAAGTTATATTCAAATATAGTTTATAGTTATAGTTTATAGTTTATAGTTTATTTATTAGGACCAACTGTCCGTTTAAAAAGAATAAGAAGAAGATTACATTAAGCGCATAAAGTGAATAAAAGTATAAAAAGTACAATTCAATAGAAATAATTCAGAAAGAGTAATTCATAGTATTGGGATATGAGACAGAACCATCCTAGAGCAATTCATCCAGTTCTTCAATTTCAGGTGTCGCAATGAGTCCATAATAGTAGGAACCCAATAGATGTTTTTGTGTGATGACCATTTGCGCGTGGAAGTTTTTCGGTAGAATAGCAAGAGAATTCGACGAGAGTCTGGACTTGCCGCATAGTATACCTATCATTTTAATTAGGTTTTGGATGTCGACTTCATTATTTTGCCAGTCAACGATCAGATCAATTCTTCCGTTTCTTAATTTATTGTTGGCTAATTTTAATTTGAGACCCAATATTGATGACAGCTTGATGTCACTGCTCAGTAGCAAATTAATTGTCTTGAGGATTATGAAGCCGAAGGAGATACCAGAAGAAAAAAGTTTGAAGTCATCGAGTTGGATCTCGATGATTGCTGATTTATATTCGATGCTGGTTGGATTGATTAAGGAATTGCGATCCAGGGAAACGACTAGTGGACATAGGCGTAGATGTAAGTAGATGCGTAATGCAGCAAGGTCATCTAGTTCAGGTGCATTTATGAAAGTCGTGTATCTTGCGAGGTGATTTATGATGGATAAGTTTGATTGACTGTCAGTGTCGTCAGCCAGCGGTACATGGTTAAGCATTAGTTTATGTAACCAGTTTATTACGCTGTCAGTAACAATTACTTCGACGAAAATGAGATTGTCCCGTTGGGTGTTAAAGACTACAGTTGTGATTGAGTTAATCGAATTTGACATCAAGAATTTGACTACTTTTTCGCAGGTGAGGCTAGATTTGTGGACTTCAATTGAAAAGAGTAATCTTTTTTTTCCATATTATTTTAACGGTTTTTAACAGACAAAAAAGAGTCAGTAACTGGATGTGAGGAAAGCTTTAAGTCAATTAAAATATTTAAACAAACTTTATTTTAATAAAACATTAATCAATTTACATTACTACTCCTTAATTTAACAAATTTCAATGCTTTGAGCTTTTCTTCTGGCGAATTTCCGCATGAATACGTCTGAAAAATTCTGTATCATCCTCTGTTGACTCGCTGTCGCTATCATTTTCCTCATAATGTACGATGAACCCTCCAATATTTCGGAAAGGAACTCCATTTTTGTCATATTGAAGCTGAGATTCATTTTCCTTTTTGCTACAGCTTAATTCCTTAGTCTTGCTATCTATTTTCTTGATTATTGTGGTTGCTGATGATGATTTCTGTGGCTGTGGCTGTTCCTTTTTATTTTCATTCACTTTAACACTTTGTTTTGATTTTTGATAGACTTTCTGCTTTTCAGCTTTAACTTGATCATTTGACGGCACTTCCACTTTAGATTTTTGCTGGATTTTCTGCTTATTGGCTTGATTATTTGTTGTCTTGAGAACAACTTCACTTTTTGTTACTTCCACTTTGGATGTTTGTTTTCCAACTTGATCATTTTTTGGTTTCAAATTTTTCGTCACTTCCATTGACTTTTCATCCTTTTTTGGAAGTTTTTCTGAACCTTTCGGTTTGCTTGACATTTCAGGCTTTTCTTTCATCCTTTTACTGTCCTTAATTTTATTATTTTCTAGGGTTTGTGCTGAATTTTCAATTCCGTTGACAAATTTGGATTTTTGACTTTTTGTTTTTGTAACTTCCTGTTTTTCAAAAATTTCTTCCGTTGACGTGTCTGGATCAATTATTCGACGATAGTTTTTAGCCATTTCTTCAGTTTTCTTTTCTTGGCTTCCTTTCTTATTCTTTTGTTGATCAATTGGCTTTTTCGAGTCATTTACAGGCTTAGAGCTTTTTGTTTGTTTCAGATTATTTTTTGGTGATAGCTTAACAACATCCGAGTACGATAATTCTAATTTCTCAGATATTGACACAACAGAATCAACTGGTGCTATACTTTTTAAGTTATTCTCATGTTTAACATCCTTAACTTTCGACTTCTGCTTTGTTTTTTTCGCCCGTTTTTTGCGTGCATTCCTTTTACTCGTTTTCTTACCTTTAGAAGTATTTTCATCACGAGAAGAGCTACTAATATTGATACCTTCAAAAGTATCAATTACTGAGCTGTTCAATGATTCAATATTCGATAAATTCAACTCTGGTGTCTCAACGACCTTTTTAGGAGATTCAGTTCTTATTTTTTCAACATTATACATAATTGCTGGTCGATTCATTTCTGTATTTTGTAAATTTACAGCATTAGATATTGTGTTGTCAATTAATGAATTTCCAAGAGCAGGTATAGCATTTTGATATGTGCTGTTACAATTTGGAATGAAAAATTCTGTTATATCTCGGCCATCAACAGATAGATCGTAATGCATTTCACGAATCCTTATATTAATTTTTTGACTTCCATTCATAAGATCATTAATTTGAAGAGGAAATCGTTGATTTGACTCGAAATTGCTTGCTGAAGCCATATTTTGGGCAAAGTTTCCAAACTGAAGATTGTCGCGATTGAAGTTTACTGGATGTGGCATCTTAAAAGGTTGTGGACTTAGTTGTTGTGACTTCTTTCCACTTTGACAAACTTGTTCTGATGAACGAAAGAAACTCATAGAGGATGCTTCAAAATTTGGTGTCTTTATGTTGCTCTCATTAAATCCTTCTTGCGTTTTGGAGCTATAAATAATTAAATCAACAATATGAATCGTTTAGAGACAAATCTTAACTTACCGCTTCCAAAATAGAAGATTCATTCCATCCAGTTCAGCACAACGTTTATTAAATGCTCTTTTAAGACCTTGTATAAAGTCTGGATCGTAGATTTTTTCTAAATCTTGAAGAGTTTTGGGTTTGTTGTTATAAACAACTAGATCCCGATTGTTATTTTCCTTGAAATCATCAGATTCACTGCTACTTTCTAAGGCTTCGTCTTCGACATCAAATATATCATCCAGTTCTTCATCTTCAACCTCACCACAAGCTATTAAATCAACTACATCATATCCATCATCCTCACAGTCACCACAATTCTCGTACTTTTCAAACAATTTCCTCCATTTATCGTCTCTTTCTAAAACTTGTTGATTATTAGGCAAAATTGATGAACTGAAAATGAAATTAATGAAATATTAATCTTTTTAACTGCAGAACTAGTTTGATGGCATATTTATCTGATGCATGATTGTGTTACTTACAAGTCTGACATATTTATTCACTTAATTAAACTGTTTAAACGTTAAAATTATTAATTTTTGTGAAATTTCTTAGCGGCATAAACATTTGACAATAACTGCCATTTTAAAAAATAAATTCTTGGAATTTCAAATTTTAAAAAAACCGTTACATGAAAATAGTCAACACATTACTTTGATTCTTTGTATTATGATCCCAGACAAAGCTTGTAACCTTCTGGATCTTTAAATTGTGGACCTGGATGTTAATTTATCTATTAAATTTTTATATAAAGTTATAATATCAAAAACAAAGTAAATTTTGAATGTTAATTTTGTATGGGAACAAAAGTGCCTTTTTTAAAGCAACGACTGATCCTACTTTATCCAAAATTCAAACACTGCTTCTGTAGAATGGAACAGATCAAATGCATACATCTTAAAGGTTCTACATTGTCTCGTTATTATGAATTATTAAGTTCCAACATCTTTATAAAGGAAAATGCTGTTTTTTGAATTCTATTGGCCATGCCTAAACCAATTTTAATTCTGTTCTATGCAGAAGATCCAGAGTTTTAGACACAAGCTTTCTTACTTTTGACACTTTCAGCTACATTGCTTTATTTCCGTTAAATAATGTGAAAAACTAATTTAAGAGTTGGAACTTGATAGCAACAAATTTATTAAAACTTCCTTCATAACATATGTAACAATGAAAGCAATCTTGAACTAAAGCTGCCAAACATTACATTGCCATCAAATTAAAATAAAAATTTATCCGGTCGTAGCTGCAATACTTAATGCAGATAATGGGACATCATTAGGTGACTTTGGAGGTGCTGGTGGTGTTTTTGGTTTACAATCATTGTATGGATTTCCCCATGAAACTCTTGGACAAAAGCAGCTAACATTGTTGTTATTCAATTTACACAATCCTAATTCACTGCAGTATTTTTTACAGTCAAGATCTTTCTCATCTTTTGGAATTACATCAGCAGTTTGTTTAGCTCTGCATCCCTTTCCATTTTCTGGGAAGAAACCAGTTTTGCATGTACAATAATATTTATTATTAACAACTGAACAGTCTGAGTTGGAACCGCATGGCGATCTGATGCATCCCTTAATACATTTATGGTCAGTTCTACAAACTTCATCTGATGCACAATCAGCATGTGCAGAACATCCCGGTTTACAAACACGAGTTGAATCACAATATTCTTTTGGTTTACAGCTGTTTGTTTGAAGTCTACATCCTTTCTTGCATTGTCTGCTTCCTGCATCACAGTATTCATCATCTTTACAGCTTTGACTGGTTCTGCAACCTTTTTTGCATACATTCTTTCCATAATCACAATATTCATCAGCATTACAGTTTGTGCTGACTAAACATCCAGCTTTACATGTTTTTGTCTTTGACTCACAATATTCACCAGGTTTACAGCCATCAAGTGAAGCACATCCTTTCTTACAGACCTTATTAGCTACATCACAATACTCATCAGCTTTACAGTCAATTGGGCAAAGTGATTTACAGTTTGGTGGTTGTCCAGAGAAATTAGGAAGGCATGCACAAAATGGCTCACCATAAGTTTGGAACTTAGAGCTGCTTAAGGCATCAAAACATTTTGCGTTTAAGCCACAAACGTCTTTCGGAGCATCTGAACAGGTTTTGTATTTTGCAGCTGGAGGAGTGTCGGCATTGACAGTCGAGTACAAGATGCAAAGGTTCTGTGTATTAGGGAAGGGATTTTGTCAGACTTTGAGACACAAAACCAATAAACTTAATTTGAAATACTTGCCAGAATTAAAATTATATAAAACATTTCAAGTTGATCACAATTATTATCACAAGCTATCGACAAATTTATCAGCTTATCACATCCAACACTAAAAATATTCTGATCAATGTAAATACAATGTATTGGCTTTTTATAGTCATTGGACACCTTGAAGATGTGCTAACTGATTTGTAGATGTTTGAGTTCTTTATAAATTTTTCATAAATATTTGTATTCTGCAGTAATCTCAGAAGTCTTAACAAGCGATGAACATTTTTAAGGAATTTCTATATTTGTTTTGCTTGCTGACCCCCCCCCCCCCCCCCCCCCCCCCCCTTGGACGTCATAAGTGAACGGCCACTTACTGAATAGCAATAAAATTCTATTTGTGCTTTTAATATGTATGCATTTCCCATAAGCGGATGAGATCTCTGAAATTCTCGCAATTGTTTGAATGAAGCTCTGAAATTGACTTTGTTGAGTTTGAACGGGTTTGAACCATGCATAGAGTATCTATATGCCAAATATTAAACTTTAAATCCACTAAAGAAAACAAATTCTGAATAAATAGTGACTTAATATCCTCGAACTTGACTGAATATTGCGATGATGTCTTTGTGGTTTATAATAGAATTGTTCCTTTATCTTTACAATAACCTGTTATTGTTATCAAATTCGATAGCCAGAACCTAGTCATAACATGGTAGTCACTCAAATCATGCATCACGAGTTGTTTTGCTTTGTCTTATTACATTACCTTATACATGCTAATTATTTCAAGCTTAATAAAAATAGTATGAATCAGAGTGTTTTCTGAAAATATCTAGACAGAGATTGTTGACATTGATTGATTAATTTGCATATTAATGTGAGGGCTGACTGAATTGTTTATTGACTTGCTGTATTTTTGAGTGTTTTCCGATTTATTGATTTCGACTAATGAATTACATCCATATTGGCGTCAATTACTTATTTCGTTCTCTTTTAAGAGGAACTAATGCTTAGAAAGAGTGGGAGATTAAACTTTAATTCTTATCCAACACACAATCTAGCTATGCATGAAGCTGATATCATAAATTCATCAGTTGGCTTCTCGGCATCTGTGTCTGGAGAACATTTGATGAATGGATTCTTATCCAAATCATGTGCGCAGTAACAGTAAAGATTATTGTCTTTAACTTCACAGGACGAATTTTCACCGCAATATGCTTCACATTCTTTCCAGTTGGAATCTTTTGGATCATTTGCTATTGTACATCCGATTCCTTTAGTTGGACTAGTTCCTTCAAAACATGAGCAATATTGTTTGTGATTTACAGCTGTACATAAAGAATTTTCGCCGCAATAAGAAATTGAGCAGCTTTTAAGACATTTTGAATCTTGTGGACTACAAAACTCATCATATTCACATTCTCAATCTTTCCAGCAGCCATCCTTACATTCATGACTTTCAAGATCACAAATTTCTTTTGGATTGCAGCTTTCAAGTCTGCAACCTTTTCTGCATTTCTTTTTTTCTGGATCACAATATTCATCAAAGTTGCAGCTATCATCAAATCGACAGCCTTTCTTACAATCTCGTTCACTTCCACCATCGTCACGTCCATATCCAGAACAATTTCATCTGATCCACAAAACTCATGTGATCGACATCCTTTAACTCATTTTTTTGGAGATTCCTCACTTCCAGTGCAAAATTAATCCTGACTGCATCTATCATCTGATCGACAACCTTTCTTGCCAACTCTTGTTGACATGCAGCAGTATTCATCAAGCATGCAAGTGTCGTCACTTTTACATCCATTTTTACACTCTTTTTCAGTAATGTCACAATATTTATCAGATTTGCATGCCTCTGAGCAATAAGAATTACAATTTGAGGGCTTTTCGTAAGTATCAGCATCACACTTGCAATATGGTCCACCGAATTCTTGAACTTTAGGGTCATTTTCATCATCAAAACATTTTGCGTATGTGCCACAAATGCTTTGTGGAAAATCTGCACATTTTATGAATTTATAGTCATCTTGAGCAAAGACTATTGTTGATGTAAAGATCGTTAATATAGCCTTGAATTTTGTGGTACAAATTTATAGTTTGAGGATAAAGAATTGAATAACAAAATGCTTACACATATGAAAATCATTTCTGAGTATTTTGCTGAATTTTCATAGGTCACATGTGCTTGCCTTTTGGTATTGATGATTAGATTTATTGTCAAATTTAATTTTGAAGTATGATGCACCAAAGCATTAACAAATTAATATTAGAGACTTATGAAATTTAAAGAAAATATTTTGAAATTAATGAGCTTTGATCGAGAGAATCTCTAACTCTCTTTAGAGGCAGCAGAAATAAATTTCGTCAAATTTGTGACCTTGTCTTTCTCTGTTTTGCTTTTGAAACTCTTATCATGAGCATTCTAAATATATTTATTTATTATTTTGAAGTTTACTCGTGCATTGAATATAAGACGTGTATGATCTAGCTTCAATGGATCTTAACCAGTGTTTCTCAAACTTTTTTTTGGTTCACACACTTTTCTACTTAAAATCTTTCACGGAACAATTAAATGGTTTCGCAACACAAGATTTTCATAATCATTTTGTGCCTCGGCACACAGTTTGAGAACCACTGACCCAAAGAGTTAATAATGAAGAAAATTCAAAGGAGTTGTCTTCAAAATCTAATCCCATCCAAAACCAAGGCAGCTCTTTACGATTTTCTACCGACTTTTTTATATTCACACCGTTTTCACGTGTGAATCTATTGGTTTTGTTCAGATTGAAAAATCAGTTTTTCGCATTTTGTGAGAAAACGAAGCAAAATTGGTTATAAAAGGTTTTAGAAGAAAAGTGTGTGCCTGAAATTTCACATCATCTGCAAAAAACAGATTTCAAATTGGTTGTGGCATTGCTGAGAAAATCGCAAAATACGCTTTCTGTAAGCAAACAAGCAAGCAAACAAGCAAGCAAGTTAATCGGCAAGAAATCTCAATAACGAGACATCGTAGAGACTTCTAGTTTTTTACATTTGATCCGTGCTGCTCTATAGAAGAGCTGTATTGTTTTTGGGCAAGGTAGGAACAGCCGTTGCTTCAGAAAAAGCAAAATACTTTCCTTTCTAACGAATTTTTCAAAACAAAAGTTGACTGTGATTTTTATGAAATTAAACTTTCGATGAAAAAAATTTTTTTTGAGCAAAGAACCAAGTAGGAAATACATTTTCAATTTTGGACTAGGGGTGACCCAATTACAGTGAAATTTTGTGTAAGTATACTAATATTTATACAGAACAGTTTTAAATATCTAAAGCAAGAAATGTATTCTACATGTCGTCAGACCCAAATTTTATAAATTTGGCTGTACATTCAAAAACAACGTGACTTAAAATTTTATCCAAAAAAGTGATTTTTATTAATTCAGAAATGTGTGACCTGAGGATTAGAATGCTCATACAAAGTTTTACTGTATTTGGATTTATCCTCGAAGAAAAAAAAGTGAAAATCTAGATTTTGACTGGACCTGTCCCAAGTTCATAATTGAAAATGTATTTCCTACTTGGTTGTTTGCTCCAGTTTGCTCAAAAAAATTTTAGGATGTTTTATTTGTATTTGTTTTAAGCACTAGAATATTTATGCAAAGTTTCAATCCATTTGGATAAACCCTCGAAGAAAAAAGTGAGAAAATTGATTTTGACTAGGGTGGCTCTTGACGGATAAACTCGGATAAACCCTCGAAGAAAAAAGTGACAAAATTGATTTTGACTAGGGTCGCCCCTAGTCCAAAATTGAAAATTGATTTTCTATGGTGTACTTTTGTCAAAAAGATTTTTTGGATGTTTTATTTGAATTGACATAATTTTGACATAAATCACTTACCAATATTATTTTTTGTAATGTAAAGCTTAAAAAAAATCGAAATCTAAAATTTCGACTACCCCATCTGAATTTTGTTCATACTCTTCATTGTGGAAACCAAAAAACAAATTCTTTATCTTAAAACACTTGACAAAATAGCGATATAATTCAGGATTAATTACTTTTTAATAATATTTTAACATTTACGAGAAAATTTGGTTTAAATAAGTGTGAAGTATGGCCGAGATTTGGACCAAAATCAGCTATACTGGTTCATAGTGTTCCCGAGGGTGACAAACTTCAAACTAAGTGTTTTTGTAGCTGACATAATTATGACATAAATTGGGTATAACTTTTGAACTGTGTCGATATGGGTCTCAACCGTACTTCACGCCCACCCTTCAAACTAATGCTGAGCAAATCTTGGTCTATCCATAAGACTTTTGATGGTACGGTGTGGATATAATCCGTATTGGGTTTCTACCCGATACACTAGTTTTATTAAAATAAAATAAAAACTTAGGCTCAGGAACAATGTGGTATCAGTGTTCTTAGAACCTGGATAAAAACACAAGAATTAAATTTGCTCGATTTTCTGATAATTTTATATTTTTATGTATTGATTCATTCGCTTAGCATACAATAATCGCAGTTTTAAAAATGTTGTTATTCTAAATACAGGAACGATATATCTTGCAGTTAATAATTTTGCAAAAGGTGATAATTTCATTGTTCGTCGACAGTTTTCACAGCTGTCTTCATGATCTGTGTAGGATGGGAATATTGATTCCTTTATTTTATCATTGTCTTCATAATTTGGATTAAATAGTTCTGATGATTCGGTAAGGTTGAAGTTTGCTTGGCTTGATTGAATGATTAGGTAAGACCATAAAATCTGAAATTAATGAGAGACATCAATTAATAGAATATAAAATTACGTCTTGGGGTTTGAATGGCGTCAATTAAATTTTAAGTCTGGAGATTTTTAAAAATTGGAAATTTCACGTATTGCTTGCCACTTTAGACTAGATTTAAATGGTTCCTACATTAACAAACATTGAAATGTTATTAACTTGGTGGCAAAATGCTTGGTAATTGCAACATCAGAAATTGCTCTTAATAAACTATTCAGTTGGCAGACGTGTTCAATCAATTTTGATGTGTGAAGATATGATTTTAGATTGGTTTTAACTTAATCCAGATTGATTCTTCAATCCAAATTAAGAGTAAAAAATATAATTTAAGTTTAAGATAATTAATCCTTGTCACTTACTATGAATAAAATGTTAACTTGAAACTTCATGACTTTTAATTTACATAAATTTGGTCTCACTCCTGCTAGAAAAAAAATCAATTTGATATTTTTTTGCCTGCTTATTAAAATGATTATTTATTGCATAGTGAACTCTCATCATGCGTTTAGAGATTAACTGCCTTCAAGGCTTGTCAATTTCAACTAAGTCACCGAAAATTAATATTTTTATAATCATATATCGTAAGTTGCAGTAAAATCTTTTAAATTCTTGGTGTTGATCTTAATAAATTGCATTTAAACATTAATTCTTATTCCTTAAAAAAAGAGCAAATGGCTGGTTTTGATTATTATCATCAAGTTTTTTATTAAGTGCCGAATCTTGAAGAGAAAAGTTCTCTTAGAATTTTTTAAAAAATGAATTTTATTTTTTTATGAGAACTTATTTAAAATTTATTAAATTACGTTTTAATTTTAATCAGGGGGGGGGGGGGGGGGGGGGTCAGAGCAAAAATTGCCAAGAAAAAAAAACCCAAAAATGTTTACTGTGATGAAATTTCCAAGTCCTCCACAAACAAAATTGAAAAATTCAAATTTAAAGGAACTGAAGCATCAAAGTAAAAATTTTTAGATGACAAAAGGTTTTAAATCATCAGTTCCAATCAAAATTTCGGCTCTGTCCCCCCTCTGGTTTTAATAAAAAAGAGTCCTTAGAGTTTTTTAATTCTGAAATTAAATGATTCAAAATGTCAAGCATGAAAATTGTTCATATCTAATTTAAACTTGATTTAAACTAATTTTATTAGACTAAGAAAATTGTTAATACAATTATTGATGCATACGAAAGCCACATACGACCTTTCTATTTTTTATAAACTGATTTATTTCTTGTTCCTATTGTCAATGCTGAAAAGAGAAAGAAAACGATTTTTAAACAGCAAAGCACTCTGATAAGAGCATTAATTCAAAGAAAATGTCAAATGAATTTAAAATCGATGAAATGGAAAAAATGAAATTTTCCTCAACTGTGAATCCGAATTGATAAAAGAAAAACAATTTCCTATAAAAAATTCAAATCTTTCGTGCACGTGCAATGAGATGTGAAGTTTATTTTGGAAAGATATTGCATTCTTTATCCTACTTTATCCTTTGCATCCTTCTTAGTATGCAAAAAAGCAGCAAGATATGGAATAAAACAATTTAAATTCCTGTCTAAAATGGAATGAAAGAAAATTTAAATTTTATAAAAACTATGAATTTATTCAGTCATGATCGATAGGTTTGTAATTGAATATAATGAACATAATAATCGGATAGAAATTTCTTCATGCGAATTAAAATTAAAATCAGAAATGAAAATTTATTCTTACCGAATGCCAGCAATGTGTAATCATGAAATTTACATTAGTTTTTAAAAAAAACATTTTAAATTAAAAAGAGTGATTTTTGAAAATTAAATTTTAATAGAAAATTTACACATTTGTAATCAATGGAATTCCATATGAAAAGTTATTAAATGAGTTGCAGTCCTTTCTCGAAATCACAGAACACTTTACATGAGAACGTAGGTTGCATCCAACATAATACCGCAATTGTTATTGCGTGCAGACATGAGAGCGTATCCATCATTGCCTGAAATAAAAAATTAATTTTTATAGAGCTTCTATCATACAAAAGTTTTACAATAAGGATAGCATACCCCAGTATGTTGACCATGAATTTTTAATCAAGAAGTAAAGCTCTCCATTCATTGTTCCATAACCAACAGCAAGCTAGGAAAATTTTTAACGAGAAATGAGTAATAAGTTTGAATAGGAAAATCAAAATTCATGAGGAAGGCTTACCACAGCATGATCTAAATTATCAACTGTGTTACCACATTTTTCATCAAAATAGACACCATGTGAGTAGAATGTAAAGGTACGCTTGCTTGCATCAATTGCAATAGAAAGTGGACCATGCTTGAACAATGCGACTTTGAATGCGTTTTCACTGAAAAGAAAATATTTAAAAAATATTCTTATAGCATGTCACAATAAACTTACTCATTAGCAGTAACATTAACCCATCCTTTGATTGGTGCAACAAGATCAGCTTTATTAATATGACAATATCCATCCTGTCCCAAATAATTTCCATAACTCTCTTCCGTTGGAATTCCACCGACTTTCATCTACAAAAAGAAATGAGGAAGCATTTAAAGCCTTTTCATACAGATGAAAAGTAATTAATCCTTACCATCCATTGATAAGCACGGAAATCTTCACCACCATCGCATCCATTATTTCCATAGCCCCACGAACAATCAATTAGAGCTTGTTGAGATAATCTTACTAATTTATTGCCATTGTTGAGGAAATAAGCACCTTCAATGGCTCCAACTGTACCAAAGCTCCAACACGAACCACAAACAGATTGATCCTGTGTTTTTGTTGAGTGAAAGATAAAGAATTATGAGGGATTAATAAAGATGATGTATGTTTTTTGATACTTGGGAATGATAATAAAGGCTTTTGAGGTATTAAATTTTATTTTTTGATGAGCATCATAAGTGAATGACCCCAAAATTGATTCGAATTTTGGAGAACTTAATCAACATTATTTTTGTGCAATCTTGCATTTTATGAATTCAAGCAAATCGAATCATGTCAATTTTTATCGGCTATCAATCATTTTTAAATTAAATATTTTTCGTACAAAGCAAAATTCAAATTGACTCATTTAAATTCAAAATTGCTGATTATTTGATTCGCCGTAAAATAAATAAATAAACAAATTTGTTGATAAGTCATCGCATAAACAAAAATAAGAACTCAAAACTTGTTGTGTTTGCATGAAATTCAAAATGTAAGCAAAAAATTATACGAACCTTAACAGGTGTCACAGCTCCATAAAGTCTCCAGTCATATTGATCAGGTAGATGATCCATTTCTTCTTCAACATCATATGGGAATGGACGACCACCATTATAGACTTTTGATGATCTAAATCCTCTCAATGCCTTCAGTTCGTCAGCAGTTCTGTTTAGTGAAGTGAAAAGAAAATTGGATATGGAATTGAAATGGAAAGTTTCACACAAAAAAAAGGTTCTATTTACCTGTCAGCTAGATGGTTGACACCTGCACGAGTCGCATAAAAAAGGAAGGCAAAAAAAAAATGAAATGAATAAGAATTTTTTTTGAAGCATAAACAATCTTTTGAGGTACAACAAAAAATTAAGACGCAAAAGATATTTTACCTAAGGAGTATCCCAAGCCTTTACGGTTATTTGAATGGATGAAACGTAAATTCTGACGGAAAATGTTTTTACGATTCTCATGTTCATGATGCGTTTCGTAATCCTTATCATGTTTCCTCTTGAATCTCTCAAACTCATCATCAACATGCTCCTCATTGCGTGGATGAATAAATTCCATCATAGGATTCATTGTGGCAAAATGTTTGTTGCCAGGTCCTGGGAATGATTGACATTTGTCGAGTTCAACTTCGAAAATTTCATTTGGAATGTCTTCATGTGAGTAGTCAGTGTACATTAAGTAGTAATGATCAATGTGTGAGCCAAGTAATGTATTGTATCCTTTCATATCATAACGAACTGGAATTGGCATCAATGATGATGGATATTTTGGGGATTTCTTATATCTAACCCACAAAGTGTACACGCTTTTCTTCTCACCAATCGTCTCTTCAAAACGGAAGCGATCACACTTGAATCCATTGCAATCGACAGTGTCAAGGAGTGAGAAACTTTTTACAAATGGCAAAATTGCTTGTACGCCGATATGATATTCAGCACTTCCATTGACTTGTAGACATGTTTGTTTACTCGCATAATCATCAGTCGTTACTGGAGCAATTTTTATTGATGTTCCGTATTGACCTTCATGAACCAGCTGATATGTTTTCACTGTTTCTCCATAATAATCGATTCTACTATTTCCAGTTGTTTCATCGTACCATGCTGAAAATGGCTCTTCAATTTCAGCATATGGAATAAATAAAACTCCTTTAACAAGATAATTTTTCTCCCATTTTGGTGGATTCTTTGCAAATGCAAAAGCAATCAGAATTGTGAAAATAAAAAATTTCATTTTTTATACTCGGCTAGTCACTACACTTCACTTCGACTTGTACACACCGACTGATGTCTCATATGCTTTGACTTATTCTCTTTAAATTTCTTTTCTCAGATTTTTTTTAAAGGAATTATTCTGTTAGTATTATTCATTTGTTGTTAGCTTTATGTATTTTGTTGTTGCGTTATGTGAGGAGAGAACATTGATGTGTCAGCATATGGTGTCACATGGAATTTTATGATTTCATGAATGTATTATTAAGGCATATATTCTAACGATCATGAACAATAATTATTTTACTAGTGTAATAATACAATTGTTGCCATTTAAATGTGTTGCTGTTGATAATCGGGGCTTCGCGTTTTTAGAACGAGTTTAAGGTTTTTTAAGACTTTACAGCGCTTCTTAAAGACTTTTTGTTTTCTGTTGAGCGACCTTTTGCTATACCACTGAAACTATATCCTAGAGTTATCTTAAATGTCTTAAATCATGATTCTCATCAGTTCCAATCAAAATGTTGGTCACAAACTGCATCGGAAGGAAGCAAAAATTTAATTTTTCGACAGTTTTTTTTCTAATACAAAGTGGAGTCCTTGGAAATTTCATCACAGTAAACATTTTTGGGTTTTTTTCCTTGGCAATTTTTGTTGTGTACCCCCCCCCCCCCCCATGCATATTATTCAAATTTATTTTGCATGATTTTTGAGTGGCATTTTATTTTAATAAATAATAGATGTGTGACAGTACTCATTGATATTCCTTATCTAAACCTTACTCTTGTGTATTATTCAAACTTTTATGAAGTGACACAGGTAAATCCTCTTCGATTTCATTTCTTATTCACTTCTCTCTTTTGTTATGTCTTCTACCTGATTTGTTCTAAAACATTACACAAAACATTTCGTTAAAATTCCTATGTTCTATGTTCTCTTTGGTTGTTTAATTTTTTAATGAGTTCTTCTTTGTTGTCTAGAAATCCTTGAAGGCTTCAAGTTTTTAACATCAAACGATTTGTTGTTAAATTCATGATACAAAGAAAAAACAAATAATGGACAAAAGTTTTGAAAACATCCCTCATTGAACTAGTGAGCAGAACTTAAAATTCATTGAGTTTCAAAAAGTATTTCATGCTCAGAGAAATCAAACAATTGCTCAAATATTTAATTTGATTACAGAAATGAAGAAAGTATGAAAAATTTGCACTTTCGAAGGTTATCTCGTGTAAAGACTCATCTTTATGATTGTGCGAATGTCAATGAACAGTGGAATTTTGTTTATTTTCCGCTTGCGTTACTTACGAGAAATTATTCATTATTTTTGGTTTGATCTACGATTAAATTAAAAAATAAAACATTTCAAATTTCAAAAATGTTCAATTTTCGCAGTAATTTCATCAAAAAAAAAAAAGGATTTGATCCAATTCCAATCATATCATCTTGTATTTCCATCTTTAAAGCATTTAGTCAATGATACATAATCTAATAAAATGTAATGAGGAATTACTTAGCCCTACAAAGTTAAAAAGGTCGAAAAGATTAAATTGAGATTATTTTCTTATCACAATACAAAAGTATCATAATAACAATTTAGGTCTGTAGAAATACGGAGAATCAATCAATATTAAAAAAAGAAATTGAAATAAAATCGAAAGTTGAAGTTTATGGAAGCAGGAAAAAAAGTTTGAACAAATAAAAATAAAAATTTATTGAAATACTTTAGAGTTTCTTTTTGTAATGAAGATTCTTGAAGTAGAGTTTGAAATAAGTTTGTTTAGGATTATGTTATGAAGATTAAGCAACTTTAGAAGTTTTTAATGAGCTTTAAAAGCTAAAAGAATAATAATTTCCAATTTTCAAAAAGAAAATTGCTTAAAATTTTCCATAAGCATTATCAAACATCTCCTCTGCTGAGTACAAACTCCACACAAAGCAGTTAGAAAAGAGATAAAATTTGTAAAAGAAGGAAGAAGAAAGCTTTTTGTAAAATAATTTTTCAGTCGCTTTACTTCCTTGAATAACATGTTTAATAAGATTATAGGATCACTACAAAACATCTTGACTACATCTAAAAGCACTCGTTTGATTTTATTTTTAAACTTCTTTTAATAAAATCAATTTTTATTTGAACATAAAACATAAATATAATTTTGAGACTATTAGAAACTTGAAGATTATTGAGGACTTTAACAATGTTTAGGAACTCAATTCTAGATGCTTATGTTCCTGAACAACCTCAAAGTTTTAATAATATTTTCGAAATTTTTATTGTATTTAGTTATATTATGAAATAAGAGTTTTGAAATCTTATCTTGAAGTATTTAAGCTTTGTTAACAATTTCATATTTCAGTTCTTTTACTATTTGTATTAGATTGTTTTACATCATCAAACACCTAATCTTTGAAAGTCATAACAGAATTTTTCATCTTTTCGCTTTCTTATTTTTTCATTTGATAAATTTTAAAGATTTGACTTTTTATAGTATTGAACTTTAGTTTTAATCAATATATAGAATATATCACTATATAACTCTATATGTTACAAAATTAATCTAAAGGTGAAAGAAAATTCTTTTGAGTTGTTTGGAATGCTCATTGAATTTTTGTTTACATCTCTAATCAATTTCCAACATTCATTGATGGGAATTCACTTAAATTAAAAAAGGAACTGACATTAAAGATTTATAAAATAAAGTTTAAAATGATTCAAAAAAATGCGATGAAGATATTTTTAAATTAAGGTAATAAATCGAAGATGCATGCAAGAAACTATCAAATGAGTTTAAACAAGAAATAGCAAGAAACGGTGTTGCAGGTCATTTACATTTCTATTTCAATGATTTTTTTAAAACTAAAAGCTCAAATGAAAGTATTAAGTAATCAATGTTTGGATCACGTACACAGCTGTAAGGTAAATATTTTCAATGTTTTGGATTAGAGCTAAATTCAATTGTAACAGTTTCGAGAAACGGTTTTTACTATACAAATTCTTTTTGTGTATCAAATGCAAATTTTAAAGATATTCAGCTTTTCGTGCCAAGGAAAATGTCGACATCAAATGATGATCAAAATATTTTTTTAAAAAATTCCAATTTGATGAGATTTAGTCTTAAATGAAAATTTTTATCTAAAGAATTCAATTTTGTTTCATTTGTTTGTTCTACTTTCCCATGTTGTTTAAGTTACGTAAATTGACTAGCTCTCATTTCAACTAACACGCAATTTGAATATATATTGAAGATTCTTGTCTAATTCATAAGTTCTTTAAAATGGTTCATAAAGAGAAAGAACTTGTTTTGATTTATCAGGAAATAAACCTGTGGGTATCTGGCAACATATTTAAAATACGAAAAAAATTTCTGGATAGTTGAAATTACAATTTCATTACTTTTCAGTATTTTATGTATGGATGAAGAACAAATCAAATTAGTTCGGAAATAATTGCTATGGTCTAGAAAGGAAACATTTCTAGACATTTCAGCACAAAAGACTCACAGCACCATGAAAAAAGAAAATTAACTTCATTTAAAGAATGTACGAATTTCTCTTAAAAGACGAAGAAGTAAAAAGTCCCTAAAAATAAGGTTTCATGTGCGTCCAGATGATCAAAGGCTACAAGTTAAGTGAAAACATACAAAAGCTAATTCAGACGTGAGACTTGAAGCACAACAAGAAATGAAAGTGAAAACGACCCAAAAGCAATTTTTTCAAAGGAAATAAAGATTTCTGACCCTTTTTTTCATCGTATCTTTTCATTTTTCTTCCTACTTCTAGGACGACAATCTTTCTCTGCTAATTTATTCCTTAATTTTGTTTGCTTAACTGATTGTATCAATGGTCATGATTGTTATCCAATTTGAGGGTTAACATTTCTATTCAAATGAAAATGATACTATGGCAAATAAAAGAGCAACATGCAGCTATCAACATAGTAGATAAATAGCTGTTGATAATGCTGAGTTTTAAAAAATTAGAAAAATATTAAGAAAATGTAATTCGGGAAAATTATGAATTTTTAAAAGGAAATCTACTTTTTCCGTACGATAATCCTGGAAAATTCAGGAGAATACTAAAAGAATTTTGGAGAATTCTGAAGAAAAGCCAAAATAATACCTTTTTGAATAAAGATAATTTCATAATGTGTTAGATGTCTAAAAACAAATTAATTTTCTAGATATTAGTCATCGATAATTTATATGAGAATTCTCCAGATTTATTTTTGCAGAGTTTTCCCAATTTTTTTTTGCGATTCGCATATTTCTAAAACAGGATTAGTTTGGAGAATAGTTCTGCAGAATTCAACAAATTAGTCTGCAGAATTATTCTACCCGGCCTATGCAACAACAGATTCATAAATGGCTGTTGGAAATGCTGAATTTCAGAATAATAAAGAAAAACTTTTAAAGCAAATGAAGAACATCGATGTCTTGTTTTGTGATTAAAACCAGGAACATACGAAAAACAATATTCACACCAATTCTCATTTATAGTTCTTGAACGAAGCAAACCTAAGTGTAGGCTTGAACATTTACGGTTGGAACGACGATGATGACAACGGTGTGAATTTGTACAAGAAGCGTTTTTAACTTCTTTATTAGTTCCTTATCATTCTTTACTAACACTGGCATTCAATTATTGTTGTTGAGATATCAAAAATGTTTGTAAAGTTTTTAGCATGTTTTTAATATTTTTGATAATTTTTGTGTTTCAATTGTTTTGTTTTGCCGCAATACTGACAGTTGCGCTTAAATGCTGTATAGAATTGGGTTAGAAGTGTTTTTCTTTGGAGTTTTTATTTTATTTTTAATACTTTGAAATGTTGTCAAATTTTTCTAAAACAAAAAAAGTCTTAATATTTTTTCCTGTTTGCATTATGGTGTACATTTTTATCCTTAAAATCTCACAGCTGTCAAATCATATGGATGTAAAATATTATGAATTCATCGATATTCAAGAAAATCGAATTAATAATCAAATAAGTAAACTTATAAAAGTTAAGATAAATTCTCATTGTGGACGGTTCCCAATGCTCGCTGACTTGAATGTGAGTGATATAAATTGGCAAGTGACAAATACAACAAATGGAACATTTTACAATCTTAATGCTTATTATGATGATCGAGAGGCACTGAAAAATAAATCAGTTGTCAGAATCTTAGCATTAGTTAACAAAATTGACGTCACTCTCGATGCCTACTGTCAATTTTGGTACGATGGGATGAACGAGCCAATTCCTATAAAAGTTCAAGAATATTTAATGATTTGGCCTAAATATTGGGGAACAAATGATAAAGGTGCCGGTCCATATTTAATTACATGCCCAAACCCACTATCAAATCTCAGCTTGGTGCCTCAATTTGTGTCATTTGTTGAGCAAGAATGCGGAAATGCTAACAATATCTTTGAAATTCGTAACAAAAGACCCAAAAATGGACATAAATCAAAATTTTTAATTAGTGTGAAAAGTTTAGACTTCCAAACTGACATTTCATTACTTCTGGTTGAATGGTGTGAAATTCTTAAAATTTTTGGTGTCAGTAAAATCGAAATTTTCATCGTAAATGCAAATCCAAATGTCATTCGAGTATTGAAAATGTATCAAGCTGAAAATTTAGTGACAATAAAATTTCTAAAATTTCCTCACGAACTTCCAAACAAAGCCTCCGAAAGTTGGCAACAATGGACACAGAATGACTTGATTCCATACCATGACTCATTTTATGAGAATCTATATCTTTATGAGTACATGATACCAATGGACGTTGATGAATTTATTGTCCCTAGAAACACAGAGGATCGGACGTGGTCGGATGTTCTAAGCAGAACAATAGAAAAGTCTAGAGTCAAAAATGAAACTTTTGATGCATATCCTACTGTAAATATGTATTTTGTCCTTAAATCCGTTCACAAAAATGAAATAATTCCAGGGATTCCGAAACAATTAAGATTCTTATCAAGCATTTATCGAGCAACAAATTTCACACCAAATGGTGGAAATGCCAAGACTTTTATGAGAATGGACAGAATTGTGACTGTCCACAATCATTTTCCATTTTCATGTTTTGACACAGGAAATTGCAAATTATTTGATGTAAACCCAGAAGATGGCCACTTAGCTCACTACCGAACTGATTGTGACAATCCGGAATGTAAACTTGCCAAGCCAAATCCAACAAAAGATATAACACTGTGGAAGTATAAAGATGAAATTTTAGAAAATGTAAAAGCAGCGTTAATAAGACTGAAGGAATTCAAAAGTGATTTTGAAAGTAAATCGCTGGGTATTAAATTGACATAACGATGAAGGTGTTGCTCCTCGTTTTTTCTCAAAAATTCAAAATATTTTAAATTTAATAAATACCTAATAGTAGGGTTACCATCTAATTTTTATGAAAATACAGGACATTTGATAAATTTCCTAAAATAATACAGGACATAAAGGAAAATTTGAAAATTAACGGAAATTTTCGAGAAAAAAATACAGGACCTGGAACCAAATTTTCAAATTTATACAGGACAGGGTTTTGAAATACAGGACTGTCCGTTGTAAACGACCTACCTAATAGTCATCGAATAATTTGTGAAATAAATTTGATTGTATTCGATTGAATAATAAAATTAATTTGATATTTACAAACAGCTCAAAGTTCAGGGTCTGGTTGATGTCTATAACTATATTAAAGTAATGAGGCTGAGTTATTTTAGTATCTAACACTAGATTTGAGCTAAAAGGAAATGAAGTTCAACATTACTACAAAAAGTCAGAATAGTGAATCGAATTTGTTTTCAGTCCAGTGTTAAACGTGATGCTTACTTACATACTTACTTTCGTTGCTTAGACGCACATGAGCCCATTGCCGCGCTTATAGAACGTTGAAGACAGCTCAATCGTTTGAAACTTTGAGCCAGCTCGGGATATTAAGGACTCTATTGTCCTTTTATTCACAACTAATCCAGGAATTATTCTGTCTTCCTCGTGCTCTCTTTCCATCCACAAAGTCTGCTGTTTACAATATATCTTTAAATGCAAAACTGTTCGTTCTTTTAAAGTTTGATAGACCTGTCATTTTAAATTTTGTTTCGCCTTAAAAATTTATTGAAAATACAAATTATTTTATATTAAATTTCAGCATTAAAAATAGAATGAATAAAAGGCATTAACCCAGCGATGTTTTCTCCTCAAAACTCAAGATTTGCTTTGTCATTTTACATCAAAAAAATGTGATGAGACTGAAAATTTACTTGACAATGATGACGAGGATGATGATAAGTCCATTAACAAGATTATTAATGTTGGAGGAAGAGAAGCGACACTTGAGGATTTTTTTGTGTGAAAAGTGACAAATTTTTTGCTTCCTTTTGTTTGAAGCAGTCAAGGAAGTGCGCGAAAAAATTGTTGGTGAATGTTTTGAGTTTTAAGAATTCATAAAAGACTTGATCTTATGTGTGGGTGCTTGTAAGAATTTTTCAGAGGAAATAGCGGAAATAATTCACAGCAGAGACATGCATATTATTTTATTTACATGAATTTAATAGGACCAACTATTTAGAAAAAGGTTATTTTAATTTTTTGTTCTCAAAATCATGAAAGTTTAAAAAATAAAATGCAGAAATTTAATTTTAAAACCAAGCTAAAATGTAAGAATCAACGACTATCATTAAGCATTATGTAAAAATAACTGAACTCACTTTTTGGTTTTAACATGTTAATTAAATCAAAGCCTTTAATTATTTCAATTATCACATGAAAATTTCCTCATCATTGATCGATTATTTCACACTCAAGTTTTTAAATTTAGTCGCTTGTCAATTTTCGTGTAGAGTACAACATTCATCCTAAAGATGAAGTCTTTAATCGTTTTTGCAGCTTTTTTAATTTTCAGCGTGGAAAGTGAAATTTGTGGAAATTTAAATCAATCAGCAAATCAGTGGCCCTGGACTGTCTCAATATTTTCAAATTCTTCAAACATGGTTTTGTGCCAGGCATCAATAATCAACAATAAGCACATTTTGACAGGTTATTTCTAGATTTTATGACAGTCACGTGATGAAAGAAATATTATTTTTTTTTGGTTTAAAAGCTGGACACTGTTTGCAGAATATGAATCCATCGGGTATTCAAGTATATCCTGGATTTATGTCTCATCGAAGAACTGACAGTAAGTATTGTAAATTACTTTACATGCATTTTAAAAAATAAGTTTTTCAGGTTTTTGATATTTTTGAGGTTAAATTTTAAAGTTTTTGCAAGTAGCTGAAAAACAACCATTTTAAATCATATCTGCGACTTCCCATTCCATTTTTTGTTCATAATCTTTTAACTTCCTCCATTATAAAGCTATAAACACATTCCTCCTCACAGTCAATTCAACACTTGACTCCAAACAGGAAACATATCTGAATTAAAATGAAATTAAATACCTCAGATGAATATCCTGTCAGTCAGTGTCACATGCCTTGAAGGTATCATAAATCTCTTACACGCTATAAAAATATGACTTTGAATATTTAATTCAATTTCCACCTTCCGTGCTTTTATCATTCAACTACGTCCTTAAAAATTTTATTTTCAGATCATCAGTTGGTTTGGCAAGTCGAGCAGATAAATCTTCATCCTGACATGAAATTGACATCGAGAGGAAGATTCATCAATGGTGGATTTGTTGCTTCGATGGCAATTCATGCAGACTTAGCGATTGCTACCTTAAAGCAAGAAATTGAATTTAATGATGTTATCACGTCTATATGTCTGCCAATTGATGATTCAATTTTGAATATTGAAATTCATGGCAGCTATAGTGGATGGAATAAGAATGTAAAAAATGTTGAATCTCTCAACACAACCATTGATGCGATTGGAGACGCTGAAATATTTGAGGTTGATGTGGATGAAAAAAGAATTGATTTTGTCACAGGTATGATAATTTTTTTACAATTTATGGATGGTAAAGCCTAATTTTATACTTCTATAGGTACTGGATTTTACAGTCGAATAAATTCTTCATGGATGATTGTCGGCTTGATGACGATAAGGGAGAGTGAAAATGACACTGAGATGAATAAATTCATTAGCATTCATAAATATGTTAATTGGATTACGAATCTCACTCAGAGTACATCTTTGCCATCTACAAACTCTTCTTTTAATAGCAATGTTGAAACAAGCACCACTTCAACTGATTCTTCATCTTCAAAAACCTCTTCTGAATCAAACTCAACAACAATTTCACCATCAAATGTTGAAACAACTGCACATTCTTCTACATCAGCCCTTCCATTAACAAAACTCGAGCCTAAAGTTAATTCAACAAATATTCAGCAATCAACATCAGTTTCAATTGATGAACATAGCTCATCCACCCAGTCATTTAAAACGACGGATCAACAAACTAAAATTACTAATTTAACTAGAAAAGCATCTCAAGAAAATGCATCATCTACTCAAAAAACTACACCATCCATGCCTGACACTATTCAGACAACATCAAAATTCGATATATTAGCACTTAGTTCAGCAGTTCCTGACATATCTGTATCTCAAAACTTACAATCAACAAAGGCTCCTTTTACAGAACCTTCCACTCCATCTCATGAGAAGAAATCTACTTCAACAATCTCTTCAATATCTCAAGAATCAACATTACCTAGATCAACAGAAACTCCTCTGTCATTGTTGAGTGATGCAGTCACAAGAGAACAAATATCTATTTCAAGTAATTCAACTTCAACAACACCACAAAAATTAATTAGCACGGTTGAAAATAAAATTGAAAATTCTACTCCTTTGATAAGTACTAATATTGATATGCTAAAGACTGACACTACCACAACAAATGAAAGAGCCCCAAAATCTATGTCAGCAAGTGAGAAAACAATCGAAAATGCCTTAAATGACGTAACAGGATTAAACGTAAACATCGATAGTGTGACTGAAATACCTAAACACATTGTTTCTAATTTACAAGCTGTTTACAACCGTTCATTTAGTTTAAGACTCCCAGAAGGGAGAGATTTGAAAGACTTTACCAATAATGTCGATCAACTTAATGGGAACTTATCAACAATTTCGAATAGTTTGCCTTCTATTATTTTAACAACATTAACAACAACAACTGGAAATCCTACTGAAAAAGACATAATGACAACAACTTTCTGGCCATCGTTGAATAGTGTCTTTAATATTTCAGAAGCTAGTCCATCCATAATGAACTCAACAGATTCGAATGATAATTCAACAACGACAATAAGGAGCGAAGCTATTGTAATAGGAGGAATTGAGCTTACACCAGCTATGATAATCACTGGGGTTTGTGTTGCTTCATTGCTGATTCTTTTTACTGTATTCGGTGTTTTGTCATTTTCAAAGCCAATTGCACATTAAGTTTAATAATTTCTTTTGTGAAATGTTAATGGACTTCTACTAAAATTTTAGATAAATGCTGAATTTTTTTTGGAAGCAGAATCAAGTAGCAAAAAAATTCATTTTCTACGTTTTTCACTTTATGCAGCAATGTAAATAAATTGTGCAGAAGAAAAGATAAATATTAAATAAACTTGAAATTCATTGAATTATGTGTTCTTTTCTTACATATGTATCTTGTAAATTAATTTTTATAGACTAGTTGACCTTGATACATAAGAAATAGCACATATGACGTCGTTGTCAACAACTAATCATCATCATCATGTATTTATTCACGATTTTGTTTTTGGTGATCCGATATGTGCATTATTTATCGTTGAATTTAATTAATATTTATTAAGTATTCTTGCTAACGTCATATAATTTTATAACATTAATTAACATGTTAATATGTTGCTGGTCATGACAATGATAATTGATGTTATCATGTCATTTAAATTTAAAAAGGTTCGAATTACTAAAAAGCTACCATAAAAAATTCGGATAAAAATATCTCACTTATAAAAAAAAAATTGATTGACATTTGATTATAATCTATTCTATGTAATTTTAATGATCCTAATTCATTTTCATATTTGCACACCCACAAAAAGATTGGATAAATATTGACTAGATTTATATGTAAAGGACATATGATTATGCTAATGTCTTCCCAAAAATAAAATCAGAGATCGTATGAAACTCAATATGTTTGGTGAAAATTGATTCTTTTAATGTTTACAGACACTTATGGTCAGATTCTTATTCGTTTGCACAAAAAGCACTTGATTGAATATTTTTTTCATGTTTGACATAAATATTGAAAATGGATTATTAAAAAAAGTGGGTGACGCATGGAAGTATGCAAACAGATTGCTACATTGATTGAATATATTGTCATAGCATCACTTTGATGTAAATTGATCTTTTTTTTTTGTAGAGCTACTTTCCAACATAGTTGCAAGGCACTAGTGAGCTTACATGTTTTATATTGTTTGCATTTTAATCCAATAATTTTGTTAACAATGTCTTTCACACGATTAAATAGCCGGAGCCAATTTATTTTGTATTTTCACGAAATTTGAAAATTAAAATTAAAAACTTAATTTTTACGTTTTAGCTGAAATATTTTATTTTAATTAACATTCAAAAAATTTGTAGACAAAGACATTAAAATTGGTTTTTGATTCCATAACCTACATTTACTTTATTATTGAAAATATCGTGAATATCGTGCTAATCATCATCACACTGACTAGAAAACATTTTATGCGTATTAAATGGTTTTTAAATTTAAATCATATAGGTTTGTCAAATCCACCGGTTATTTTTTCTCAACAACAATTTCCTTAATCGTCACATTTTTATTCGTCTTATTATTCAAAAATGATTTAAAATTAAAAATAAAAACAAAAATCAGCAACAAAGACAAGCACACAAGTTGAACTGCAAAAACTCTCATTCCAGTAATTTCTCGAAGATACACAGAAGCATTTTCGTACATTTTCTTAAAAGATTGCATCAATTGATTGAGTTTATCACCCTTGCCGGAGTCACCACTAGCACAGGTCACAAAAAGTAGCAACAAAGTCAGCAACCTGAAACAATAATTTAATTAAGTTAAAGAAAAATTTCTTGAAATATTTACGCGCAGTTCCAATTACCTTAATAAAAATAAATTTTTACAATTTTTCATGTCGTGTTACAAAAATAAACGGAGTTGACAGCAAAACAACATGTAGAGTCACAAAATAGATTAGAACTGAAGACCAATAATGATGAGATAGAATTTTAAAAAAATATTATAGAAGGTCCAAAACTAGTTTTTATGTTATGATAGAACTATTAATGATTCTCGGCCTATGAGGAATTTAATTCCACATAGATAATCTTATAGAATTCGTGTACAGCAATTCTAAGCTCATAAAATCTCATTTTTATTAAGTTTAAGTTTGATTAAGCTCAAGTGAAATGTATTATACGAGAAAGAATTATGAGACAATAAATTTAATAGGATCTTCATTTTATAGTTCGCATATGACAAAGTTCTAAACTTCATTTTATTTGTCAATATGGAATCGTTGTGGACAATAATCTGAGCATAAAGAATACAAAGATGATGAAAGAAGAATTCTGACAATGCTTATTGTTTTAGACACGGACTTTGAGAAATGATTGAAATTGAATTTAATTAAATTCCGTATTTAATGGACATTTCCAAAGTTTTTCATAAAAAATTTGTCATTAAAAAAATTCTTACCGGGTTCGCATTTAACTTAAAAAAATCTTTAACTTAAAATTGGTTTATTTTTTTCAACAGCACAAAAAAATCTAAATTTTAAATTTTTCTTTTTTATCATAACTCAACGCGATTTTGCTTTACTGTTAAGCGGTTCGTAGATTAAGGATGAATATTTTTTTTAAAATATGTATGCTTACGATTAACGATAAAAAATTCTTGTTGACATTAAATTGCTGATTCATCATTACTTGGGAAGCCTACAATGGGAATAAAATTATTGATGACGGATGATACTAAATCGTTTTTAAGGGTTGCAGAAAAACTTACAGAGATACTTTTAATCTGATACGAACAATTCATGTGATAGTAAAAATCATAAAGAGAATCAAAATCAAGAGTAAGACTTTACTTAATTATCAAAATAAAATTATGCAAAGTTTGATTGACCAGATGAAGTAAAGTTATTGCAATTTACAGAACCTGACAAGACCAAATAAAGCATCACAAAAGGGAATATATTCACGAACCGAGAATATATCAGCCTTATTGTATTTTTACATACATCGCAAATCTTTGTACCTTGTATTTATGCACAGCAAATTTAAAAAGACTCATAACCCATGGTTGAAAAAAAATGTCCAGTGCATTTTTTCATATCACATGGCATAACTCATGTTTATTCATTCCCAAGTTGATGCTTTTAATTAAAAAGCTCAGAAATTTTTATTATTAGGATGGGATGATGTTTTAACAGAGAGCTACATATATAAAAGGTCGGCTTATTGAATTTACTGCTATGAACAGAGCAGTTGACTAGACTCATGAAACATAAAGTGACAAAGTAGACATAAGCGTACTGAAGGTAGAATTCATATCCCTGTGTTAATTTAACTTGGAAACGATGTATGATAAAAACGCACACGCTAATGCTAATTTTGAAATATTTCAAATGAACTGAAGCTTTGACAACTTCTTTTTCATGTTTGCATAGTTGTACTCTTAACTGCATATTGAGTACTAAATTACTTAAAAATCCAACTATCGTATTTTACGTTCCCAACAGCTATTTTTCAATAAAAATTATATTCCCTTGATGAAATCAACAGATTTTATTTATAAAACACAAACACAAAGCTTTTAATAAAGTTTACAGAAACTTTAACGTAATGCATTTAATTGTTTGTTGCAAGCAATTTAAAATTAGAGAGAAATGTTTGGATTGCATGGCACGAGGGAGTCTTTTTCTCTTGTATTCTATTCGTGCTGAGTTTCTTCCTACAATTTTTTAAGCTCATTACAAATGAAAGCACGAATGAGCTGAGAGTGAACTGGTGAATGAAATTAAATAAGAATAAACGAAGTGCGAATCTCATCATGAGAATAAATTATTCGATATAGATTAAATCTGCGATTGGCAAACATAATAGGAAATGAAAATTTTCTGTTCCATAATTTAATTATTTGAGTGGATTTTAACGAAAATTCATGGGTTGAACTTAATTTTTATTTATTTGCTGATGATTAAATTTTCTTTGCATAGTTCTATTTAATTATTCAGTTGAAGTTAGAGTTTTAGAGGTTATCAGTAGTATTTTTATAGCAGTTACATCATTGATTCTCATTAATACTGCAATCTTCTTGTTTTCTCAGTTCACGTTCCAAAATAATATTGCCATTACTTTTCCAAGACTAATAGAATATGAATTCGGAACTATAATTTTGCGTTCAATAATTTAGTGTAAGTTAAACCAGTGGTTCTCAAACTGTGTGCCGTAAAAACAATCCAGATGTGCCAAAAAAAATTCAAAGTCTAAACTGATCCTATATTTTTATGTTTTATGACTACAAAAAGGTCAAGAAAATCATTTGGTGAGCTGCGAAAAATTTTAATAGTACAATAATAGTGGTATAGTCAGAAAGAAAGATATGCAGAACATACTTAAAAACCAGCACTTTTATGAATTGCAATATAATAATGTGTTTTCTCCTTGTGTTCTACATATATTTGAAGTGTAGCTTCATCAAGTAGTAAGATATGCCTGTTTACCAATCTGTTGTAAAACGTAGGTTTAATTTAAACCAGATACCGATCTTCCAATAATTCCATAAAGTGTTGTCGAAATAACATTGATTCAATGAATACATTTCCATAACAAGATTTTAAGATCTTATGAATAATTTACCAAATGGAAAGGATTGTGAAGACACATTGAGAATAATAAACTCATGAATTCATTAAGGAATCGGAAAAGTATTAGTGCCAAAAAGAATAAAACTGAGAAACTCATGAATTTAAATTATGAAAATTTTTTGGAAATTTAAATATGAAAAGGAAGTCCCTGAATTGTGGAAGCATCTGACAAATATTTCTTGTGCTTTTACTGAAATATCTTTAAACAAATCCTCAAATCATAAAATAAAAAATTTAACGACAGTCATTTGCGATTTTGTTACCCATAATGTTCGTCCACATATTTTTCTAAACCAGTCATTTATTTTCAATAAAATTTAAACTTTTAAATGATTATTCACATCTGGCTCTTAATAATAATGACATGCCTACATTATTATAAATTGTATTATACAAGTTTTTCTGTGTTTCATGATAATAAAATCTACAAATCATAAAAAGAGGAGTCATGAAAGTGGCAGTTTTTGGTGTTGTTAGAAACTTCATTGTGGAGATGGAGAAGTCTAAGGATGGGCAATACTTTTTGTATCTAATTTCCAAATGTTATCTCTTGTTTGACGTTACTTTTGCACATTCTAAAACATAAGCATAGCAACGTTTTCAAAAGTATCATTTTAAAGAAGAACTTGCTTTAAGAACTTGCTTCAGAACTTTAAAGTATGAATATAATAACCATAGCCGTCATACTTTATAGCCTGGAGC